CAGCGTCGTGGTGGTGCTGGTGTTGCTGCTGTTTCTGTTATTGCTGCTTTTGCTAGTGTTGCTGCCGCTGCTGTTGTTGTGGTTGTTGTTGTTGTTGCTGTTTCTGTTGCCGCTGTTGATGTTGCTGCTGCTGCTGCTGCTGCTGCTGCTTGTGGTTTTGCTAGCCTTGCTGGCTGCTAAAGTTGCTAGTGTTAGTGTTGCTGTTGCTGCTGCTGATGTTGCTGTTGTCCTGGCAACACTTGTTGTTGCTGTTGCTGGTACTGCTGTTGCGGTTTCCTGCTTTGGTGGTGGTGGTGTTGCTGGTGGCGGCGGCGGCGGTGGTGGTGGTTGCTGCTGACTCAAGGAGTTGCCCTTAGGATATGTAACGGCTGATGGTGTTGCTCTTGCGGATGTTGCTCCTTTGGGTGTTGCTGTTGCTACTGGTGTTGCTCCTGCCGCCGCTGCTGCTTCTGCTGCTGCTGTTGTTACTGCTGTTGTTATTACTGTTGTTGTTGTTTGGACAACTGTTGCCACCAATTGGCTTACAGCTGCTGCCTTAAATTCGCCGGACTTTTGCTCCTGCTGCTGCTGCTGCTGCTGTTGGTCCTGTTGGCTAAAATTGGCTAGCTTCGATGTTGCTGCTGGCAATGGCGAGGTTTTTCTCTTGATTGACGCAATTTTAATGGCTATTGGTGAGCAGGTTTGATTGTAAATTGATTTCCCGGACTAGCGTCGTTTTTCCTTGCCTTTAACTTTTTGTTGCCTTTATTTTCTTGCGACTGTCTGAGCCTTGTCTGCCTTTGGTTTTCCCTTTTTCTTGATCGATTTTTTATTTAGAACATTGACTAGTTAGTTAGTTATGCGATTTTATATTGGCTAAACACTGAACACTTATTAAAGTTGAAATTTATTTGATTTTTATTCTTGTTAATTTGCAGTTACTTAAGCACACACATCAATAGACGACGATTTATATTTTGTTTTCTTTTTTGTAATCAAGCTAAGCTTTTTTTCAACTAATTTTTGTTTTTTTATGGCAATTTGCTAAATCTTTTTCACTCACAATTAAGCTAGTTTTTATGTTTTTACCTTTAAGCTAGAGTCACAAATTTAATTTGGTTTTTTTTTTAATTTAAGTTTATTGTCTCTATTTATCGCTTAGAGTTTCCTTTTCTTAAATATTTCTTACTAAAATAATACTGTAGATCTTTGCTTTGGTGTTCACTTTTTCGACTTCTTTAATAATTTAATTAATTTTGAGAGTTTTTAACCCTTTTTTAGTTGTGTTTTTAGATTTATTTTTCAGTTTTTTTTAGAGTTCTTCTTAGTTGGCTAAGATTCGTAGGAATTTTCGCTGACAATTGTTGCGCTGAGAGACTGGAATCCTTGGACTACTTTGAGTAGTGAGTTCTTGAGCAGAATTATTCTTTTTTTTTAGTGTAAACTTCTAGATTTTTCACGCTTTTCTCTTTGTGTAAATAATACTGAACTTCACTTGCACTTTGCACTTCCCGATTCTCTCAGTGGCTAATATGTATAAATATATTTGTAAATCATGGACAGAATGAACTGACTTCGACGCAGATTACGTATACGCACGGGAAATGGAAATATTAATATAAATATCAATATATATATTTAATTTATATATATTTAATGTTGAATCTTGCGGTAAAAACTTGTTTTTTTTTTATATTTTTGAAAAACACAAAATGGCGAGCTTGCACTGTGGTAAGGATGTCCTTCTGGGGGGGGCTCCTCGCTTGGCTATTTTTTTATTTTTGGGTTTGGTTTTGGTTTTAAATTTGAATTTCGATTCGATTCCGGTTTTTTTTTTTGGCTTCAGACTTGGCTGGCAATCTCTCTGTGTGCTGGGGCTCTGTGGTCGCTTTCCGCTTGTTGTGGTGCGCAAAATGAGGAAAAGGCGTTTGTAACTGAACTTGACAATCGTCGAATGGATTCTGAATTTCTCATTGAGTAAGGTTTTTGAGTAAGGCCTCCTACAGCTTGGCCATTTCGTTTCGGCTTTTCGAGCTTCGGATTTTGGCACTTCGTGCCACTCCGAATGCACATACTATATCTATATATATCTTTTGGGGGAGCCGGCAAAAATTGTTTGCCAGCAACAGGATCCACAAGCCGACGCAGGCGCAGGACATAAAGGCGTTTCGTAGGCGCTGAATGCTGCATTTTATTGGGAGTCGGAGTATCCTAAAGCCCCCACGCTTCGACGTCTGGTCAGCAGCAGTAGCAGCCGTGGCAGCGGTAGCATCTTCAATTGAAATGCAACCCCAGCCTATGTGGTCGCAATTACCTTAACAACTTTCTGCCAACTCTAGGCAATTGTCAACATTGAATTTAATCACAAATTACTACGTGACCAAAAAAAAAAACAACAAAAAAACTTCTTATAAGCAACATAAATATTTTGTTGGCCAAACTTTTTAGCGCACAAAACTCAAATACCAGGTTTTTCCGAAACATAACTCAAATAGAAAATGCCAATGAGTAGAGTAGAAAAAGGGGTAGAAGGAAAACAAATTATTCAGGTAAATGGCAAGGAACTGGGGTAGCAAAAGTAAATCAAAGAAGTGTAAATGATACTTCCTTTTTCGACTATTTTCTCTAGTATTTAATTTCCTAATTACTAGAAAGGGAGTAAAGGAAAATCAGACTGACAGGGTGTATAGCTAGAGGGATAATATTTTGTTTTCTCAAGCATCTAGTTTATCAAAGGGATTAGTTTAAATGACAGTTGAGGAAAGAAAATTCTGAGATTTATCACTGAAAAACTGAAATGCGTTGAGTTCGTGCCTTAAAAATGATTTTATGGTTTATAAACTTTTTAATATTATTGCTTAAACTTTAGTTAAAAGAGAGTATAAAAATAACTTTTTTAAGGAAAAACCTCTAAAGTTCCCATGGCCTGCAAGGGTCTACAAAAACAAGAGAAATTATTTTATTTCCTTACTTGAAACTTTTTTTTTTTTAAATTTAATATCCAAAACTCTTCTCAAACTCGACATCTACAATCTTTTTGCAAGCAAAAAAGAAAACTCTCTCGCCCATTTTCCATCACAAAGTGCGGTACAAAAGTAATTTTAAATATATATATATCTTCCCTTAACTCCATAAACTTCAGCGGCAACTTGCCCGTTTCCACTTTTATTTATTTACTTTCCTTTCTTCATTTTTCTGTGTAGGACACAAAATGCGAAATATAATTTTCATTCCAGCCACAATAACTGACGTCGACTGCGGCGCTGACTAAGCGCGACTGTTTACAATTTTTTCCTCTAATTTTTTTTTTTTTGTGGTCTGGGCCATTTGTTGTTGTTGTTGCTGTTGCCGTGAGTTGAAAGCTGTTTAAATGAAAGAACGTTCCCGTGGAAAGGCAAAGCAACGCCTGTTGGCCATTAGAGGATGCCAAATAGATGTTGCCTACAAAGCAAAAGCACACCTGGAGGAGGGATTGTAAGGTGGTTGGAGGGGTTTTTTGCGGGGTTTTTGGGGCATTGGATTGGGCTACCTAAAAACGCAGCAAACGAGCACCATCAGCCCCAGATTCGTACGGGCCGCATCTCTCGGTATTATGCCGCAACAGCTTTGAATAGTTTATTATATGGAATACATATACAAAACAAATACACTGAGGAAAATAAATGGTTAAAATGCTGTTCTGTGAACTTAATAATAGTACTCGGAAAAGTTCTTCTAAAAGTTCTAACCATTTTGACATCAATAACTAGTCAACCACCTATAAACTTAAAATAATCCTTAACTAAAATTTCCCTGTGCAGCCACCTAACACGCAGGTAAACCGGATTTCGTCTGTTAAGGAAGGACGAAGGACGAAGGGAACTACTTACAAATGTTGCCTTTTTGTGATTCCCATTTCATGCTTTTCATTTCTCTTTTTTGGTGGGTGCGTTGTTGGTGTTTAGAAAGCAAATGCATAAATTATGATGGAAATTTTCACAATGCACAAGAACCCAACCCCCCTTGCAAAAAAATGTGTGTAATACCATTGAAATTAGCAAAAAGGAAATCCAGCTAAAATGGTCCTTTTCTAGCTGGTATATGTGTGTGTGTGTGTGTTTGTGTGAATAATGATTTATCAGGTAGTAGTAGGATAATGGAACACTATTGCCCCGATTCTCTATCATCGAGATTAGACCGAACTGCACTGCAACTGTCAGCAAATTGATGGCGAAAATGGTTAGAAGAAATCCATATCATTGCCAGGCCATTGGCAGCCGCTTCAGCGGGAGCAATTTTCCACTCAAATGCGTACTCTTGCGTCTGTCCTCTTGGCCCTGCGTTTTCCCCTTATTTCTTCCCTGATTTTCCTCCCGCATTTTCCCGAATTCAAACGACTCTTCGTCTGCGTATGACACATGTCGATTGCAGTGGCGCCCCCTATCGCCCGCAAGGCAAAAATGGCGCCTTCTATGTGGAAAGAAGCATCAGAATCAGAATCAAAAATCATCAGCCTGAGTCCGATTTGAATGAGCGATTGAGTGAGTGAGTGACTGTGTGACTAACGGACGGACTGACTGACTGGTGAGAGTGCGAGCGAGTGAGCCGTATGATTGCTTGATTGATGCATGGAGCCATTGATTGATTGATGCCTTTGTTGGTCTTTGATTGCTTAGATATTTGGCCAACACTTTTTATAACCGCCTGTTTCGAATTGATTTCGAACATTCAAACTAAAGTGACCTGCATTGTAGGTTATTGTAGGTCATCTTTGAATCAACCAAAATCAATTAAGATTAAAATATGGAATAAAATTTTTATGAATGATAGAGATTTAGGGTAATTATAGTTAAAAATTCATATTCTTTATATATAATTCTAAATCTTTCATTTAGCTTATCCAATTATTTTTATCTGATCTCTTAGTGCCAATATTTTGACCCAAATAACTTGAAATTATCGCTGACCCATTAATAATAATCTAAAATTATCCGCCTTAACTATATACATATATGTATAGATATGATTTATATCCGACTTACGTTTGAATAGTTCTGGGATCGCGGAATCTGCGGCGGCAATTGTTGGGCGTTAGGCGGTCCCCTCATGTTACCGCCTCCACCGCCGCCTTGCTGTTGGTGTGGCGGACCGCCCATCTGTTGCTGCTGCTGAGGTGGCGGGGCCGGGCTGTAGCGTGGATGCATCGCGAAAACTCTTGTCTTAAACTGTTTCTAGTTCTTAGCTAATAGCACTCTCAAAACGATTACAGACTGCAAAAAATGTGAAAAGATTTAGATAATGGAGATTAGAAAAGGTGAATCATGATGAAGATTATAATACTTTTTTTACACCAAATACAAATATTTAAGTATTTTCTTTTTTTTATTATCTTTTAGCTTTAGTTAATTTGTTTTTGTTTATTTATTATAGATACCAATATTTTAGTAGATAGGAGATTTTATATAAAATTTTCAGTTCCAGTTCAGTTAAGTTTCAGTATAACACTACTATTAATTACGAGAATGTGGTAACACTGTTTTTAACTCACTACTACCAAGTATAGTATATATTTAATAGTATATTTTTATATTTTCATGATTCCTTTCAAACCTTATTTGGTTGATAAATAAATAATTAAGATAAGTCTCAGAAGTTTAAAGTACTTTTATTGGCTAATTAGCACCTGTCACTACTAATATTTCTACTGCCCTTTTTCCGCCCAACCCGTTGAGCCTGCCTGCAGCTCGGCAACACTGTTCAATGCACTTTTTCTGTCTGTCTTGCTCTTCCTCTCTCTCTCTCTCTCTATTTATATCGCTCTTTTATCACTTTTTGTGCCATATCCAGATCATTTCGCCTTCGTTTTAAATTTGTAAATTATTATTTCACTAGCAACTTTGTTGATTATTTTCGGCACTACTTCTGTTGTTTTTCTTGTTCTTTCAACGGAGCGTTCAGCGAGTTATTTTAGCACTATTTGCATCTCTTTCCCGCGCGGCAGTTGCAACATTTGCATTTTAGCATTAAAAATAGCACACAGCTAGCGAATTTTTGTTGTTATTTTTTCGCAAATTTATTTTTATGCCGCCAGACAGGCACAAATACACAGGCACAATAATTTATTGATATGCCGAGGGGAAATTATTCAATTGCAAATTGTTTTTACGCTATTGCTTTTTATCAATTGCACTTGTTGTTGCTGTTCTTTTGTTATTGCTTATTTAAGGACAATGACAGAGAGAGAGACTGATAGCTCCGTAGAGAGAGGGCGCAGCTGAGATTGAGAGCAAAAGAGCGGGAGAGAGAACCCGGCAAAGAAGACAACAAGTGAGCAAAGCAAAAATGTGAAAAAAATATTTGCACTAAGATAAGATTTAAATAATTACACTAATCACACTCTCTCTCTCGTTCTCACTGACTTTCTCTCTCGCTGAGAGCAGTTATTCTTAATTTTATTATTGTTTTTCTTTTGTTTTAGGCACAGCCATTCTTATTTATGTATTTTATTGGCAATTTTCTTTTACTTTATATCGAGTGCATTGCTCTAAAACAACAACATTCGCTTTCAATTAGCTGAGAGCTGCAAAATGTTGTTGTTTTTGCCATTGTTACGTCTGCTTTGCGGGGCTTCCAAAGGTTGTTTTTCTTTTTGCTTTTCGTTTTATTATGCTGCTTACTTATTGGAATTTGTATTTATTTTATTGTTGGCCTGTCAGCTGCTGTTGCTGCTTCTTCTTCTTGCTTCTTGTTGCACGTTCTGTTTTTTACACACTCAACACACACACACACACAAGCTCGCCCACAGTCGCACAAACACAAAACACACACGCACGCAGCACGCACACTTTTTTGCACTTGAAAGTTATGTTATATGGATTTCGTTTTCGATTTTGTTTCTCCCTTTCGCTTTGTTTCGTTCCTTATTTGTTTGTTGTTTCGTCACGCGGTTTAATTTATATATTTATGCAAAATATTACAACGACAAAATATAAGTTTGCGCAGCCGAAAAAAACGAAGAAAGCGCAACGCGACAGCGACGGCAATCGTATGAGAGTGAGTGTGGGAGTGAGAAGAGTGTATGCCGAGAGAGAGCACAAAAAGCCAACAAATTATCGCGCGTTCTCTCGTTTGCACTCTCTCTGTATCTCTCATTATCTGCTTCGCCGGCAAACTTTGCTCTGCTCTCACGCTCTCTCTCGATTGCTCTCACAAAGTCTATATTTATTGCAGAAATTTAAATAATTAAATAATTGTAAATGGCGAAAAATAAACAACAAAGCTTTGGGTATAAAGATGAAATCTAAAATAAGCAATCAAAACTTTATACTCTTAATTAACTAATAACACGGAAACGCCTTATTGTTGGGATATTTTTATGACATACAATGCGGTATTCAAAATTTAAATACCAAACTTTTACACTGGCCTGCAAAATGAAAGGGAAATTTATGATATACTAAATGATACCTTTATAAAAATTGCTCTGAGATTCATGATGAAATTATAAAATATATTTTCGGCAGTTGGCATTTCTTTTAGAAAAATATTCCAACTTGCTTACAAAAGTTAGTACTCTTTTCATAGCTATTATACATAAATCGAAGTTCAATGCAGAAGCTTAGATATTATAGTTGATAATTTAAGACTTTATACAAGTTGGTAATTTCAGACTTAAATTTTAAATACAATTTTTTGGAAATCTAAAATCTCCTCTCTTCTTCTTACTAGATAGCATCTCTCTGTTCCCATTTGGTATGAGGTTTTAATCCCATTAGCTCAGTTCATTACGCAAATGTCGCAAAATAAAATGAATAAAATAAAAAGACAAACCGAGGGGACCGAAAACTGTAAAGCCAGCAACTTGTGTGTTATTTTGAAATATTTAAATAAAATTAATATTCTCAACAAGTGCGACGCATAAAAGTGCGACACCCACCACATATCCGGCACACCCACACACACACACATCCTTCTGCTCATTCTGCAACACCCACCGCCCCACAGCTTTTGGCACATAACAAAGGACTAAGGGACTAAACAAATGATGCATGATGACGACAACGAAAAATAAGGAGACAGGGGTTTAAAAACAGGAAAAAAACGAGATGAGAGCGACTCCCACGCATTGTAAAGCACGGACACACCCTCCGCCCCCTTAAAACCCACCCACTTGAACAGCAGAGGTTAACAAAATAGTTCTGAATTACTGAAAAAGTTCGGTATTTTAAATTCTTTCTTGATTCTTACTTATTTTACTTGTAAAACAAAACGATTTACCTATTAGTATGCCCACGACTGTAAAAACTCCACCAACATACATATATGAAGACAGTCTGTAAACAATGTCATGCCACTCCCCCCGCCCACATTTAAGCCTACAGACAATAAATTTGCAATAGCAACGACAAAATTTGAAGAATGGGCCAGGACCAACGAGCAAGAAGAAGAAGCAGAATCAGGAGCAGACAGAAAGGACAATACTCAAAATGAAATTGGAACGCAGAAAGATGGTCCACAAACAAAGAACCAAAAAAAAAAAGGAAATACAACAAAACATGCAAGGAATTTAAATTTTTCTTAAATATGCAAATTTAATGACACTATCGAGATATGCAAATTTCCCAAAGCAGCGGCAGCAAAAAAAAAACGAACAAAATACAACAAAATTGGAGCAAGAAATCAACAAAATTTTAATACAGTGAAAGCTGGGCTAAAAGGAATATGTTTAAAATATACAAGCTGAGTATTTGGTATTTAAAGTATTTAACAATAAGTATTTAATTTTAACTATTTTGTGAGTTAAACTTAAACTAAAAAATATATTTTCAGGTTTAATTTATTTATAATGCTCTAAACCAAAAAGTATAACTTATTTCCGAGTTACTACTGTTTTAGAAAAATGAAGCAAGAAATCAAAAAATGTCAATAAATGGAAAGATGGGGTAGAAGATAGTAGAAAAAAAGAAACATCGACCGACTCTCACGCACAGTGGGCTGAAACACTTTCGCCTAAAACGCATGAAAAATAACATATTTGAGAGGGAGCTGGGTAGTCGGGGAAATGGCATGCAAGATAGATAGCTTCGGGGGGGTGGAAAGTTGCTGGGCGTGTACAAGGGGGAGAGGCAACAGCCTCTCTGCGGCCAAAATGACGACGCGTTGGTATTTTCATTAAGTTTGGCACCATTTTCCTTTTGTTACCCACTCCCAACCCCATTTTCACTCACACTGCCTGCACTTCCTCATCCATATTTTCCAACCTTACAGAGAGAGAGAAAAATGTGGAATTTATTTAAAGTATAATGGGTTAATAATGTTTATATTAGAAGTTCAAAAAATGTAATATAAATATTGAATTTATAAATAAATCTGAAAATTTTACCCAAGAAATCCTTATAAAATGTATTAAAAAATGTTTTTATTTTAAAGTACAATTTTCTCTCACTGTAGAGTTTCTTGGCCACCGCTTGAAGCGCAAAAAATTCTTGTCGCGCAACAGCAGCAAAAAGGAGGCGGCCAGAAAAGTGGGGGGCATTTGGGGAGCGAGCGAGAGGAAAGACCGCTGCTACGTGACCGTAAGCAATTTGCAGAGTGGGCGGAAAGGCCGGGAGAAGTAGGAGTGGCAGAGAGAGGGCAGGAGTGATGCCGGAAAAACAGGAGCTGGGCTGGGGTTGGGGGTGTGCACTCCTCGCTGCGTAATCGCATCAAGAAAGTGAAATGTCAGCGGTTTCCATCATCTTGGCGCTGCGCCTCTGTCGGCATGTGACTGCCAGGAATTCAAGCTAGTTAAAAAATACAAAAAAAAAAATGGAGTAGGGGAAAGGATGGGTTCTAAGGGTTCACAACTACTAGTAGTTTCCCAATGGAATGCATTGTATAGGTCACTGCGTAAGGACCAACAACAACAAAAAGACAATAGGAAACACTACAGAACCAGAAGAAGTGAAGTGTAGGAAACGCTTTTGTTGGCGCGTGATCTAAGGATAATTTATGACTTGCCCAAGGAGAGAGAGGAAGAGGAAAAGTCCGCGGGGGCAGAGGACAGGACTGACTTTGAGATAAGGACCGCTCAAGGCAAGCTCGGGAATTTAAATTCAATCAAATTGCAGTCGGTAATTGCGCGGCCATGAATGGAAGGCATCTTAGTTCAAGGTTTTCCAACTGGAAAATAAACGTGAAAGAAAAGAAATTTCTTAAGGAGTTTAATTGGGAATATTTTCATAATAAAATATGGTTTTTTATTAAAATATATTATTATAATTGTAATTTAATCACCTTGATGTGAAAAATTAAACAGTTAATACCCAATAAATACACCTATAAATCGCATTTAATTCAAAATATTAAACATAAAAGCCACATGTCATTAGCAGTAAACCCCAAACTCCAATAAATCCCCCAAAAACGAAATGTTTTTGCCTTCCACTCTCCATTCCAAATACATTTTCCCTATCAATGTCTTTCGATATCGCATTAATATGCCCACAAACACACATCAAAGGACACCCATATATATTACGTTCATAATCCATTTTCGCCCCAGCAGACATTGAATGTCATTGGCAAAATTAATTTATATAAAATGACATAGATTTAATATGCGAATGAAGGAAGAATATTGATGTTAAGTCCCCGTCCTCTCTTCCCACCCAACAGCTACACATTTCCGCGTAATTACCTCTATGTTAGAGGGAAAATCGTAAAGGAAAGCCACCATGGAGGAAAGCCAAAATGGTGGCGTCGCCGGCTACATCATTATCGCCATCATCGTCGCCAAGACATCGTTAAATTAAATCTATTGTCGACGCATTCAATGTGCATATAAATCATTTACGTCCTTGCTCTTACTCTTGCTCTTTCATACGCAAAATGCAACAGTCGAAGGGCGCCAAATGTAGACATTACAACAATTTATTATTTAATTATCTATGCCGCAAAATTTTCATTCACAGACCGCAAAATTCAGAGCTCAAACCAACTCAGAAAAGCCACAGTAAAGACATTAAAGTGCACGCACCCACCGCCCTATACAGTAGATACACCACCCACTTCAACAAAAGGATATGAAAACTTTGGGGGGCTGAGCATTTCATAAAATTTGATTACAGTGAATGCGTAAAGTTTACGACCAAGTAAAGGGAATTAACTCAAAGTGGCAAGGCGCTCTAACGCACGCATACACACATGTGGCGGCATCTGCGGCTTTCCTTTCCTTGCCGTTTTCCTTAACTCTATATCAGGGGAATTTACCGCCCACTTTTCCGGCACAGTTGCCTTCTCCAAACCTCCAGGAAAATCCATTAGGCGGCTGATGAAAATGATTTTTTGGCATCGTGTCTGCTGCAGTGATCATAATTTGGCTGTTAAAGCTGGAAATGTTGATTATGATTAGGAATTTTCGGAAATACTCACAAATTTATATGGCCATAAGGGTGAGGGGAGTTAAGGAGGTAGAATTTGGGTTTCCAAAAATATTTTTAAGGTTTAAGATTAAGATTATCTGCCTTTAAGGAAATATATCTATCCCTTTTTTCCCCTTCAGTTTGATTGATAGCCTAACAAAAAAATCTGTTTAAAAGTACTTTTTTCCTGAAATTTTCCCCTTTCTACAAATTGTTTTTCAGCACTATAAAGACCAACTTCATTATTGGAAGTTGCTAGACTCCTTCCTGTCTTAAGTTGGAAAAAAATCAAAGCACTTTGAGTGAGTGATTGATCTGCAGGATGGCCAAAGTGTAGGAGCTATTCAAGAGCTTAAAAGGAAAAGCCTTTGCATACTTACTTAAAATTTCCTTAAGCTGCTTGAAATTTATTATTCATTTTGTAGGCAAAAGAAGACAGCTTAATTGATTATAAACTTAAAAGATTAAAGATTAAGATTAAAAAAAATAAATAAAATAAAAAACTTGAAACGGAAAAGCTAAACTTTAATTGATATCTCTATAAAATCACATAAAATGTATGCCAAAATTACCCCAAAATTATTGTTTTAAACCAAAATAATATATACTTTTTCATATTATTGCGCTAAACATTTTAACCCA